GGAGTAAGGAAACTTGCCTAACTTTTCGCCCTACCGGGAATAAAACCCAGGTGTCTCACTTGCGAGGCGAGTGTTCTAACCACTGAGCTACAGTATTCAATATAGCATTTAGATGAACACAAAAAAAAAGGAGCGATGTTAGCCACAGCATTTCAATGGCTGTGGCTAATATGGTACCAAGAATGGTATCACTTGAGCTAAAATAAAAATGAAATGAAAAATAGATTGAGAATCGAAAGGAAAAGCAGAGTAGAGCCCTCCTGCACTAGGGCTATTTCCCTAGTGTTCTTTCCAACACTGTCATTGTTGCCATTGAAATGCTGTGGCTAACATTGCTCCCCTTTTTTGTGCTCATATAAATGTTCGTCATCACCACAGCACAGTACAGGAGGTTGAACAGGTTACGTGCATTAAACTAATGGATGTAGCCAATTGGTTTCCTGCCTGACTCTGTCAAAGCGTGTTTTATAATGTGACCTGACTACTTTTAATTTCTTATTCAGGTTTATAACAGACATCAATGTAAAATTCAACAAAGCTAAAGCATCTGTAAAAATTGCGGGTTTTCTTTAGCTAAGCGAGTGGTAGATATTAAAGAATATTTGTATCAAGATCAGTTAATACTAGGCAGATGAACATTTGAAGCAGCCTTGGATGCTAATGCTGTCAGCGCCTGAGGTGCGGAGGCGCTGACGTGAACCAATCAGGAGGGCCTCAGACAAGGCCATCTCGGACCACTTCCTCATCTCCCTCTCCTCTCACATCCCCTCTTCCAAACCCTCCACCATTTTTTTCCGCCCTTTTCCAGGCCCAAACTGACTTTTACTCCAAGTCATGCTGGAGGCAAACAACAACCCAAAGACGCTGTTTTCCACTGTCCATCATCTCCTCCGTGCAGCCCCTCAAGCCCCCTGTATCCTCATGTGCCAAGTGAGAAGAGATCCTAGACTTCTTCGCTTCAAAAACATCTGCTTGGCTGCATCATTCTCCCCCCATGTCCCCTTCCACCCCACTCAGACCGTCTTCTCCCTCCACCATGGCTCCTGCCACTCCCCCCTCCTTACACTCCTTTGCCCCCATTTCTCCCTCCTCCCTCTCAACCACAATCACCTACGTGAAGTTCACCACCTGCTGACCCTCCCCACCCAGCTGCTGGTCACTTAACTCCCCTTCTGTCCCCCCTGCTGGCCGTCACGGTCAACCAATCTCTCTCTCCTCAGGCTCTGTTCCACTCCCCCTGAAAACCGCTGTCATCACACCCCTCCTGAAAACACCCACCCTCGATCCCTCTAATCTTTCAAACTACCATCCCATCTCCAAGCTACCCTTCCTTGCCAAAGTCCTGGAACACATTGGTGGAGATCACACCTCTCCCTCCACTCCCTCCTCAAGCCCCTGCAGATTGGTTTTCGCCCTGCCCACAGCACAGAGATAGCGTTTGTCAAATCACAAACGCTATTCTCTCTATCTGTGACCAGGGCTCCCTCTTCCTCCTTGTCCTCCTGGCTTTCTCTGCCGACTTTGACACAATCGACCATGCCATCCTCCTCCACCGCCTCTTCTCCCTCATCCACCTTAGGCGACCGCACTCACATGGTTCGAGTCCTACTTAGCCTCCATTTCATCTCAGCAAATGATTTCTCCTCCCAAAAAGTAGAGGGCCAAGGATGGAGCCCTGGGGTATCCTGGTCACCCGCAGGTTACCCCAGGATTCCATCCTTGGCCCTCTACTTTTCCTATCTTTTCACTCCCTCTGGGAGATATCATCTGCAGACACAGGGTAAACCTCCACATGTATGCGGATGACACATAAATCTACTTTGCCTCCTCCAGTACCAACTCCAGGTCGCCAATGTTCTATCAGCTTGTCTGGTAGACATCAGGGCCTGGATGAGTGTAAACTTCCTGCAGCTGAATATGGACAAGATGGAAGCCATTCTCCTTGGCTCCTGTCATCGCCTTCACTCCTGTGGATCTAAACTCCTCAACCTCCCTGGGCTCTCCCTCACACTCACCGAACCAGTGCATGACCTAGGTGTTCAGTTCAACCCCCAGGTGTCGTATCTCCCCCACATCCGGTCCCTGACTAAGACCGCCGTCTTCCACCTCCATTACATTGCTCGCCTCCAACCGTACCTTACCCCAAATGTAGCCAAAACCTTTGTGCATGCATTTGTCACCTCCCGCTTGGATTACTCCAACTCCGTACTCCCCAGCTCCACTATTCAAAAGATCCAGCTAATGCCGCCCACATACTGACCCGGACCAAACTCCTTACCTGCATCTCACCAGTTCTGGCCGGGCTCCACTGGCTCCCCATCACCGATCTGATCAACTTCAAGATCTTCACACTCGTGTTCAAATCCATTCACTCCCTGGCATCTCTCTACCTCACCGACCTCCTCACTCCTCAATCCACCACCCGGCACCTCCGCTTGACTGGCACCGGCCACTACGCCCTAAAACTCTGCAACACTCTCCTTCAATCCCTCCACCTTGACCCCTCTCTCCCCTTTCTCAAGTCCTGCTTGAAAACCTTCCTGTTCGACCATGCTTATGGCCACCTCTGTGACCTCCCACCCCACCCCAGAGTCAGGCTCCTCCACTGTTAAGCGCTCTAAGTGGAGGACAATATATAAATGCATGTTGTTGTCCTGTGGATCCTATGGAACCAATATTGCTGGGAAGGAGAGAGGTCACTTGGGAATTGAAATTGGTGAGAGATGAATAATGTTGATCATAAGGTGCATGTGCAGAGCCTCGCCCACTAAATATGAAGTCAATTCACTTTACAGTATATTCTGTAAAATGCTTTGAGACGTCTCAAAGACGTGATGAAGCGCCATATCAAATGCAAGGATTATTATAATAATAATTATTATAATGTTTCTCATGGTAAGCATGAGCATGAGAATGGAGTCAGACTGGCTCATCCAACTATGGGACTTTGAACTCACAGACTAGGCTGACACTCCACTGCAGTCCTGGAAGTGTGCTGCAATGTTGGAAGTGTCTACTTTTGAATGAGATGTTAAATTGAGACCTCATCTGTTGTTCAGGTAGAGGTTAAAGACTCCATGGCACGATTAGAAAAGAGCTATTTCTCTTGGTCCATATACCGTGTTCGCTTACGAAATACATAATCACTACACTCTACGGTAATCCTGTGAAGGACTTTGAGACATCTCAATATGGTAACATGCCATATCAAATGCAGGTATCATTATTATTATAATAAGTTAATACTGATAGCTTGGATTCTTCACTCGATTGCCTTCAGGATTAAGGGATACATTTATACAATGCCTTATTTTCTTGGATGGTGCCTGTAGATATTTGCCCCTTTAGTGATTAGTTGTGTTGAACAGGATCGAAGACAGTCCAAGTTTCAAGGGATATTGAACGGGCAAGAGAGCCTCAATGGTCTGATTGACCTTTTCTCATTCAGTATTTTCCTATGCTCTTCATAGTAAAAATGATTTCGGATGACAGGTAATTTTATTCTGGGTGTGACAGCAAATAGGTCATGCAGAAAACTAGGATCAGATTTATGAAATATCCTTGGTAGGATTCCCATCCTTGTTATTATCTACCACTATAATAAAAGGCATTGGGATCCATGATTTATTGTGTTCTTAAAAAATCAGGTTGTGCAGAATTTTGGAAAATTCTTATCCAATCTTAATTTGGAAGTTATTTTTCCCAAATTAAAACATAAGAATTTTTCTAAATTTTATACCATCTTACACGTTAAGACAAAGGTATAGAAAGCTGAAATCATGAGAAATTTCTGACAAAAGAAAACAGTTATCAGCTAAGACGGAGGCAGTCTTTCTGGTCAATCATGAGGCAGGTAATCTTTTAAAAGTGGCTGCAGCATAATTATAAACATAGGAGAAAAAGGATAGAACAGCAATATGGACAGTTCTAACCACTGCACATCTATTTATTTATCAAATGCAGATTGACAGCACCTTTGGTCACCCTTCTACTCCTAGCCCCCTTTCCCTGCACCTAACCTGATGCCAACCCCCAGCTCGGGTCCAATTTCTTGACTGTCCAGCACCTTGGGACGTCCTCCCGATGTGAAAGGCGTTATACAAATGTAATTTGTTGTTGATTGTTTAAATCTGAGATTCTCTGGCAATCCATATTTCCCAGACAAGCAGATTGCAGGCATATTGTCAACATGGAACCCAACAATATTGTATATTACCTGCACTGAAATGTTTTCCATTGTTCAGAATGACACTTTTTAAATAAATTGGGCACAATTTGAAATTGCTCACACTGACTGTCATTCTGACTGACCCATAACAGCTTTGAAATAATCTGCTCTACAATATGATGATACTGAATGTCAAAACATTGCAGCCAATTTTTGTTCCCATACTCTGTGCGTACATTTGAATTCAGTAAAGCTCAGGAAATATAGTTTGGCTATATGGTATGCTGCTCTGTGCCACATACAATTCGTACCATTTTTCCGAGACAGGAATTTGTTCAAATACAGAAGCAAAAAACAATCCTCTCATTGCAGCCTCCTTGTAACCCCACATAAGGTATGTGGCAATATTTCATGTTAAAGCACCCCCTGTATACATCCTCAATCAACAGCCACAGTTTACAATTGTTCTCAACAATCGGCAATTATTTCAATTTCAAGGGTAAACTGAGCAGCTACAACAAATGTTCAGACCTTCTGAATGCACAATATCTCTTAACATGTTTTTTTTTTACACACAGGTTTCTTCAATAACAGGACATACTTCTCTATTAGAACATGTCAATCCTGCCATCGTGGCACGCTCTGAGACGTTATCTCTGTGAAGGGCATTATATAAATTCAAATTGATGTAGAATCATCTATGATCTCCCAATCAAATGAAACAAGCACGTTTTAGAGATGGTAGATTCAATCATATTTCCTTCATAGATGCTTCGTTTTGATTCTCATATATAAACTGAGCTGAATTAAGTTATTGCTGAAATATATATACCTTTACATACAGTTGCTGGAATTCTTCCAGATTCAGTCTGCCAGTGGGGCAATCTTTCAGAAATCCTTTGTACCACTGTTTGAGTTCATGTTCATTAAACTCTGTGTTCTTCACCAGATCTTCCATCACCTCAGGGGCGAGTTTGCTGTTCTGTTTCCCCATTGTCCCTGAAAAGACACAACAAAATAATAGTGATCAGCTGGCTTTTAATTTGGTAATTTCACAGACAGATGCCCAACATTTATCAGGGTGTGAACCTTAATACCATTTCCATCAGTGAAGATTGTAGATTCTTAATTTTGGAGGACAGTTTTGAAAATCAGCTCCCATATTAAGACCGCTTTTAAGAATTTTGCAAAATTGTGAATGATCTTTAAATTTAAGGTTGTTTTCCCAAACATTACACAGTGACAACACTTTACAGTATATCCTATGAAGTACCTTGAGACATCAACAACAACGACAACAAAATTACATTTATAGAGCGCCTTTCACGTCGGGAGGATGTCCCAAGGAGCTCCCAATGTAAAATGGCACCGGCTACATCAAATGTAAGAATTATTACTATTATTATTAATACCATAATAATACCAGATGAAAATTTGAGCCTCAGATAGCAAACAGGGATAAAACAACGACAGATATGTTTCGTTCTCAGAGTGTCATGCTTTCCAGTGGTGGCTTATCAGAGGAGGCAAGTGCTGATGCCTCACCTAGAATCTCCATGTCTCCCAGTCAGTGGGAGCTGAGGGAATTGAGTGAGACTGGTGCAGGAGCAAAGGCTAACAAGAGAGAGGTGAAGACATTGCACATGGGCGAAGGGCACATTGCCATGCCAACAAGATAACTTGGTTAGGCAAACTCATAGATTGCCTCAACCTGTCAAAAAAGGTCAGCAGCCGCCACTGAAAGTGAATAGTTTTCGCTCCATTATGATGTTTAAGTACCTAGGAGTTCCTTTTTATCATCTCGTTCAAATAGCTATTCATAGAATGTTATTATCTTCCTATTGTTTTCTTAAATATATTACACAGTGATGTTTCCTGACTTGTTAATTTAACACATTAATTTCCTGACACACTCATTTCACAAATTTAACCATTGTGTTAAACTTTCATCCGGATAGCTGTGAACTGTTTATTGTAAACATTAATTGATTTCAGTTCATTGTTTCAGTATTGGTGCAATATAAGTGCCACAGGGTATTTGACCTTCAGTCACTGTAGTCCAATTCATTCATGAGAATTTTAAATGAATCCTTCATTAATGATCATAATCTGTCAGCTCAGGGTTTATTTTTAGCGCAGGCTACTTGACTAACCTTCAGATCGTTACACGCTGAGGACTTTGAACTCTCAGTACATTTTTCAGTATAAACACTAAGGTAAATCAAACCCACCCTCAGTTCTAGCCCAGGAACCTTCAATGGATTTTTTAATGATATTAAAAATGTGACCATTTGTTTAAAAAAAATAGAATACGGGGATCTGATTTCAGTGCTTCCTAAAGAGAGTTTCAGATAGAGACAAATAGCACTGGAGCCTTAGGTTTCAAGAATAAGTCTGGGCATGCTCTCTCCACCCCCTCCCCACACAACACACCCTCTCACTTTAAAGCCTTTAAAATTATTAGATGATCCACTGGATAATGTGGGGAAATTTAACCAAATCAATTTTAATGTAAATAATGGAAAAATGTTATGTGATTTACATCTGTCTTCTTTAAAATAGTGGAAATCTAGTAGATATTGTTCTACTCCAGCATTAGAATATAAGATAGTACTAGAACACTTTGTATCCCAGTTCCAACATAGAGTCACGCACTGGTGAAACTGCTCCATTTAATTGTTTCACTGTCTTGTTTGACCCTGAACTGTCCTTTCTCCCCTACATCCCAGCCATGACCGGCACTGCCTACCACCACCTCCGCAACATTGCCAGACGCCGCCACTGCCTCACCCCTCAGGCTGCTGAAACCCTCACCCATGCATTCGTCACCTCAAGGCTTGATTACGGGAATTCCCTCCTCATCAGCCTTCCCAAATCTTCCCTTCACAAGCTGCAGATCATCCAAAACTCTGCAGCTCATGTACTCTCACGCACCAGGCTCTGCGACCCCATCACTCCCACTCTCGCCCGACTCCACTGGCTCCCCATCCTCCAGAGGATCGAGTTCAAGATCCTCGTCCTCAACTTTAAGACCATCCATGGCCTTGCCCTCACCTACCTCTCTGACCTGCTGACTCCCTACCAACCTGCCTGCTCCCTCCGCTCATCAGGCTCCAGCCTGCTCCATGTCTCCCGCCCGATGCACCCTACCATCGGTGGCCGGGCTTTCAGCCTCTCTGCCTCCACACACTGGAACTCCATCCCACGGTCCCTTCGCCTCGCTTCCTCCCTTGCCTTCTACAAGGCCGGTCTCAAGACCCTTCTCTTCGACTTTGGTCTCCTTTCCACCTCTCTGCCTTCCCTCATCCCTACACCACCCCCCCCTCCCCCATGCTCGGACCCCGACATCTGACTGTTCAGCGCTTTGGGACGTCCTTCCGGAGACGTGAAAGGTGCTCTATAAATGTAATTTTGTTGCCATCAACAATAACAAATTTATAAAGTGCTTTTCACCTCAGGAGGATGCCCCAAGGCACTAACAACTAGCAATATTTACTGCTAAAATATGTTAGATTCTCTAGAGTCCTCTGACCTCTCACTTTAAAGATGCAGATAGGCAAACAGGATGAAAGTTTTTTTTGTAAGGGTCCATCCACATGTCAATTCAATTGCTAATTTACAACACAATGCTGCCTACAACTTGTCAGTAAATTCACAGACTCACTCAGAAAGGCTAAGGAGATGAAAATGCCTCACTTGGAAGGATCCTCTTCTCTAAATTAGAGGTTTATTCTGCAATCAGCTGAAAAGAGTTGATAGCTAGTAAAAAAAAATCAACATTTCATAAAACCAATGGTTTCTGTTGTCTTCGTGAACAAAATGCTACTATATAAAACAATGTTATAAAGTACTAATGTCCATTGTAGCCTATTGGTCTACCTTGCTACTCATCCAAATTCCCTCAAGGTTCTTTTATACTGTACTTATCTCTAAACCTAATGTCCCAAGTTATGTTAGCTCACAGGGACTTCACGGTTCTTTTTTGATACCCTGATAGTTTCTTATTTCACCACTTATGCTAGTAGACTACTACTAGTCTACATAAAAATTGTCTCTTGCATTTTATTCTCTTACACTACTCTTATTTTGAAGCAACACTGCATCTGAAGGTTGTGGATAGACCTGCTTTAATTTCAGTGCAGAACCACTGCAATGTTGGAGTGCCATCATTCGGATGATACATTAAATTGAGGTCCTGTCTACCTATTCAGGAAAACATTAAAGATCCCATAATATTAGTCAGAAAGTAAAGGGACTTTCTTACAGTGCTCTGGCCAACAATCTTCCGGATTAATTGAATCACCTCATGCTTGTTTGTTGGCGCAAAGGCTACCATATTTGCTATTTTTGGAACATTGCTCTGCACAAATTGGTTGCTTGTGTTTGTCCATGAAAAAAATAGTCACTCCACCTTACAATATATTCTTTGAAGCGCTCTGGGACCTGATACGAAAAGCATTTATGTACCAAATGTAAGGTTTAATGTATTTTTTGATTGCTTGTGAAGTGCTTTGTGATGATTTGACATAACAAGAGGCTAAATATCTTCAGGTTCTACATACAGGAATTGGTTACATTGCAGAATCTGAATCTAAATTTTCCGTAACCTTAAATCCCTCTTTCAAGCACCCTCAAGTTTTTTCTATTCAAAAGACACAATTTCCAGTCTAGCCTTCGTTTTTTCATAGCTCTGTCCCTTGAATTCTGGACAGAGACTCATCTCAGGGATAGACTGTATTGATCTCCCCGTTTGCTCATTCAAACTCACAAACCATGTTTAGAAGTTGGCATTTTGCCCTACCCTTAACTCTCCTTTAAACCTTTCAACTAGGTTCTCTAACCAAGTTTTTTCCATCTCTGAAACAATGCCATCTCCCCCACTAATAATAATAATGATATATTGCCTTATCACGTCTTCGAGACATCTCAAAGAGTTTCACAGAATATCCTGTAAAGTGAATTGACTGTGTATTACGTCACCCAATGCAGCTGAAACCCTCATCCATGCGTTTGTCACTTCCAGACTCACTTCCCCCAATGTTTTTTTTGCCAACCTTCCCAATTACAGCCTCGACCAAGCTCCAGACTATCTGCAGCTCACATCCTCTCCCATATCACGCTCTGCAGGCCCATCACCACTATCTCGCCCTGATCAACTAGCTTCCTATCCCTGAGGGGATCAATTAAGATCCTCGTCCTTACCTTCAAAGGCCTCTACGTTCTTGCCACATCTTATCTCAGTAATTATAGTCTCCCACTTTGTCCACTCTGCCAACTCTGTCCTCCCTCATGCCCCACCTGCAATGCTACACCTTTGATGGGTGCGCTTTCAGTCATTTTGCCTCTGCCTTCTCATCCGAAATCTCATCACCTTTCTCCCACTCCCACCCCGTGCTTTCCAAACCTACGTAAAGACCTATCTCATTGACTATACCATCAGCCACCTCCTCCTTACCCCTTGCCCCCACCCCACCAACCATTTCTTTCTCCCTACAAACCCAGGCTCCTACTCTGTGTTTGAAAAGTGCTTTTTCCCTATGAGAAAGGTGTTATAAGTGCATATTGTTGTTATTGTTGTTACATGGGCATGCTTCATATTAATTTCTCAATGTGAGCTGAGCTTTATACACAACAACATTGACTATGTCAATTGAGTGTAAGGCACTTTTCTAATACATACAGTATTTCTAAGTTACCTGTGGATGAAATTAAGCATGAGATACAAGGCAGAAATGTAATAGATTGTAGAATTGTAAAATCCTTATAATAAACTGGCAACACGCACTGTGTAATTCTTCACAGAAGCGGTTACTACACATTAACTGGATCTAAGCCATCTCGCACTGAATTGTACTATTTATAAGTAAATCTCTATAGGGAAATGCTGTGCCAACATTTGCAGATTCACCTGATCCAACTTCAATCCTCAAAAAATTGCAACCAAATTTAACTTCATCAGTTTTAAATACTGAGCCCAGTGTGAAGGAAGCAGTTGAGGA